TTATATAATAAAATTATATAATAAAATTAGTATATCTAAATTATAACATTTTATAGAGTATTTTACTTTTGACTATTTAACAATGTCAAATAATATATAGATTAGGAAATGTTCACGTTTGAAACAAAAATTATACATATACTGTAACTCATTTGATTTCATACAATAATTGAGTCTAAACTACCGATTTACATACATATTGAGAAATATCTCAAGAGTTAATGTGTAATGAGTTAATGTGAAAAACTATTGAAGTTATTAGTTAAGAAAATTATTTATATGACGTTTAGAATTTCTTAATTATTTATATTTTTAGTTTGTTATAAATATCAACACTATTGAATATTTGCATTTATAAGCACATTTACCAACAACGATCTACATTACATACATGGGGTACATTAGGTAATACTTTAAGTAATATAGTAGATAATTCATGTATAAGAATATGCATAATGTTAATACATTATAAATATTGATGTTAAATGATAGTATGTACAAATTTTTTATAACCTGTAGCCGTGTATAAAAATTACAATCGTGTACTTATACACATAGAAAAATATGCAAGTAATAATTATACTCTTATTTCAATTATTTTAAAAGTTCATCTCCGCAAATTTATCTATCTACCAATCTATCTATTTACAGTTATTCCCATAGACCTCGTGATATTCTTACTTTTTAGGAGGGATGGAATGATATTCTCTCTCGCATACAAAATAGTCGATCAGAAAATCGAATCCCTATTTAAAATTATTAGGAGGTTGCACCTCTTTCTTCATCATTCTCTCATTCCATTTCATGCTATCACTAAGTCTACTGCTCATCCTTTTATTTTCGATTTCCTCTCCTTCAACCTCGCAATTTCCTTCAGTCCCCACTCCTTCATTTTCCTTTATTCTCCTCATCATCTTCATTTCTCTCTCTTCTTCTTTTTCATCTGTATCCTATCTTTTTCTCTTTCACCTTCTCTTACAATAATATATATGACGATTTTCTTAAAAGAAGAAATGCTCTCATGAAAATACATATTTTTGTTCGAATTATCTATCCCATAATATCGCTCCATCGACTGGATCAAGAAACGTGATTTCGTATATGAATTAAAATCATTTGTTTTAATAGTTGAAAAGGAATAAATTTTGCATTAAACTGTAAACATCTTTTTTGCGTGTTTACTGACCTATGTATTTTTAAAATTGTAATTATATTAATATATATTGTATACATATAAAATTATATATAAATATGTATAAAAAAAGTGAATGCTTCTTATTCTTTGTGTAAGTATTTTAAGAGAAAAATTGTATATTTTTCTATTATATCATACATTAAAATTTTCTACATCTTTATTGTACAAAGGCTTGTCGATAATATCGGCGATAGCTATGGATTGGACAGAGAACATGTATTTCACGGATAAAAGTTCATATCGGAGTTTGCAAAAAACAATGGTACATATTTGTACTGTACTAGTCAATGATATTGATAATGCAGAAGGAATTGTTTTATTACCAACTTGTGGGTAAATATTATGTACTTTATAAAAATTATTTCCAAATTTTATTATTTTCTAATAATCTAACAATTTAATAAAATATAT